GGGGCTTAGTTGCCAGCTGGCATTAAACTATGACAAATAGTTTGACACCATTGGATTTTATTTGCAAATAATGCAAAAAAAATGATAAAATTGGAGGTCAAGGTTACTTGGTGTCAATCAAGCTTGGCAAAATCTAAGTCTTTTGGATCTATCTCATGGGCCAGTTCCAGTTTCCCTTAACAGCTTCAGTGGGCAGGCACTCCATGCCTTGCTGTGGTCACCTTAGTGGAGAGGTTCTGGGCAGATTCTGCCCCTGCTGACCAACCAGGCATGGACAAAGCATGTCCTGTTTGGTCTCCAGCCTGCCATCCTTCTAAATTTGGAAGGAGGAAATGATGAATCACATGCCTGCATGGAGTCAGTCAGGTCTATTGGCTTTGGATCAGCGATCAAGAAATGCAGGGAGCTACTTTAACTGAAGCTGTGTCTGAACCAATAATGTCCCCTTGGTCATCAGAGGCGGGTATACAGAGACATCCAAACTGCTCTGCAGGAGCCAGCTCAGGAACAGCACAGACCCAGACTGAATCCTTGTGGTTTCATGTCTACATTATATTCACCAGCATCTCCTCTAAATGTCTTGTATATCTGCAGTTTTTTCACCCTCCAGGATTCCTTTGACCTCCCCTATCCTTCTCTGCCATCCCTTGAGGAAGTCTTTAAATCAGGGCCTAGTATTGGCCATTAGCTCTGTGCACTCTACCCTCTCAAGCAGTACTGCTCTGCTCAGTATGTCTTTCTTCACTTTAAATGTGGCCAATTACCTATGAGTTTCACCAGAAAGTAATGGGAACAGTCAGTGTCCTCATCTCAGTAATGCATTTTGGGGAAAATACAGCAAAGAACTGGGTATTAAATAAACATTAGTTTCAGTAAGAGGAAGAAGTTGATAAGGTCACTTGTATGAAATTACAAAAAGTCCTTTCCAGGATGTTTTCTCTTTCTAGCATAATTCTTCAAAATGTCAAGGCTTATTTGAGTATTCCAAAACATCTTTTTTTCTTTGTATTCAGAAGGAATTTCAGAGAAATTCAGGGGTTATACAAATATTCAGGAGCAGAATACACTCTTTATTACCATTGTGCCAGATATTGCAGGAAGCCAGAATGAGAAATTTAGGAAAGCCATGGAAATGAGAATTGCTCTAATTCAATAACAGATTCATTGGCTTTCTAATTAGATTTGATCACTTGAGTATTTTCTATTGTAGTTACATAAGTATCTTATAAATACCTACCACATGTCACACAGGCACTTCAAAAGCATCATATAAACTGTAGAATAGATCTGCAGAGAAAGTTAAAGAAAAATACATATCTTAGTTCTTCTTCTTCTTTGTAAATAATTCCCAGCTCTGAGATGTCATTTTATTTAATTTTACAACATTCATAAACCACTGTGAAATAACATCTGTAATAAATACTCAAAAAATCTCAGATGGTATTTTACTATTATAGCTTACAGTGATGTCTGAGTAACATCATACAAATTGTATTATAAATAGCTTCATCAGCACCAAAACATAGAAATACTACATTTTAAGTAATTCACTTAAGCACATGGAATTTTGGCTACAAAGGATTTTTTTCCTACTCTTCTTATAGAGCTGATTTGGTGTGCTTTAACTTGTAAAATGACTCAATTACACAGTCCCAACATAAGGTAACATGGAAAATATGTGAAAACCAATGTGGGAGCAAGAGAGAATTACAAAATTGTATTGGCTATTCACAGAATTTCTACTGCTCAGTCTATTCAGGATTTCTACCCTTATTTCATTCTGATAACAAGCAAGGTCTGCCAACTAAGGTGTTAAACTGAGATTCAGAAACTCTGGTTTCATGTGACCTTGGACAGTTTTTCTGCCTCAGTTCTCCATTCACAGCATGGTAGTAATAATGTTTCCTTATATCTCCAAAGACTATAAGCTCTTGGAAGCTCCCTGACGCTATTTTTTGTAAAGTAATTGGTACTGTGGGACTAAGATCAGAGCTGAGCTCAGTAAGAGTAAATGTGCAGTCTTTAACACAAGACACAATGATAAAATTGTTCCGATATTTAACAGAGGTAGGTAAATGATCCCCTTTGCACTACTGGAGGAAGTACAAAGGACTTGCCCAATGACACAGTGTGCCTTGCTGACACAGCTCCTGAGTCATGGTCTTGAACTGTTAATACATTCAAGTCTTTATCCCAAGCCACAGTGGTTGGGGAAAATTTCTTCATTGACTTCAGTGGGCACTGGAGTAAATTTTCTCTTAAACACTATTACCCAGATGAAAAATTAATAAAGAAAAACTAGATTGCTTGCTTGGCATCGAAGATGAAATTCAGGTATCCCCTCTGTTCAGTTTTACTCAGCAGTTTAAGCACAAGTTAGACATATTCTAGCACAAAGCATGTTACTGACTTCATGAAAAGGAAACATGATCAAAATTGCTAAGCAAAAACTGGGAAATGCATCAGACACATCTTCTGCATTACAGAATTGAAAAAGCAGCTAGTAATAAGCTGAAAGAGGTAAGTGTGTAGCCTCAGCATCTGCTAGGTTGGGGCTGGCTACAGCAGTTAGTTCAAACACCTGGAAAAGCAGCTGTAGCTTTCTCTTGTTACACTGTGCCTACACAAACGTGAGTACACTCACCATTGCACTGCACTTCAGGACTTCACCACCAGAGCCACTACCGTCTGCCAGATAACTAATACCAAGTTATTCACAGTATCTAGGCCTTATATCCTTTCATTTTATCACAGCACCAAAGCTCATTTTTAGAAAATGACTCATTTCTTTGTTTTCACCCTGTAAGTAATGATTTTAGGAAAGAGAACATGATGGTGTGTCTCTCCTTAGACATTACACATAGCTGACATGGATTAGGCATCTGGCATTCTCTGGTTTCTCAAATCATCTCATTTTTGTGTGTTGTCACAAAGAAATAGTGTGATTGTGGCACAGGAAAAAGGAGGGCCTCTTTGAGGATACACGAGGGAAAAGAAAGATCCTATAAATTCGGAAGGTGTACACCAGAGTAAAGATTAATACTACCTCACTAGATGTCCTAGCCATGCCCTAGTGCTGGGGATTATCACTGGAGTTCTCCAAATTCTAAAGTTCTTCCTATGCTGGATCTTTACTTTTGATTTTACTTTGTGCAACAAAACCATGTTAAGTATGCAATATTAATTGAGGACATTTTCGCCTCACACTCTCTCCCTGGGTTCAGGTGTATGGACATCATATATCTCTATGAGCCTCCAAAGGCAGCAGGAAGGTCATGCTACCTACCACAAAGTAGCCATCTCAGAGCAGCTCTGCTGGTAGAGGCTGCCAACATGACTGGAATCCTAGGGGTACTTATTAGGAGTCTCAGAGGAGAAACCAAAAGCTAAGTAGACCGTGCAGACTGGCCCGCAAGGTACTCCGAGGCACTTTGCTAGGACAGCAGAAAGGAGAAAAGAAAGCAAGAAATCTGTCTTGTTCTAAGCAATGAATGGAGATGTCTTATGAGCTGCCAGGTGAAATTATTTTGGAAACACTAACACTGCAATGTACTTTTTTCTAAAGTCACAAGGGCTTCCTTATTGACAACACTTGAAAAGTTTTATTGATTTATCTTTGTGTTTTATAGCTAACTATGAGAACGGTTTATGGCAGCTGGCAAGATACTCAGTCACAGCCTTGCCACTTTTATTAACCCTAGTGACCAGATGGACCAAGCAATCCACATTTCTAGGCTCTGTAGGGTTCTGTTGTTGCACTGATACCTGTTGTTCATAACGCCTGTTCACGTCGCCGTTTCAGTCCCACAACTCTTGCTGCCAGGAGAAACACAGCCCCGGTGAGCACTTCTGTGACAAAGGAGATCCAGACTAGTGCCAGCGACCAGCCAAACCTGATGTCGATTTCTACCAGGAGATCCTTACTCCTCAGGAGGCAGACAGCTTCTTCGAAGGCAGCAGCTGAATATGCAATATAGACACTGATCCCAGTAAGTGTAACAAGAGCTGGGAAAGAAAAACATATTCAGCTAGTTAGCATCCACTGCAGAAATTAAAAATAATTAATTTGATATCTCTTAGGGCTTCTTTGCCACTCCTTCCTATCTACCCAGTCCCGATTGCCAATTAGTTTCTGTCTACCTTTGAAGGGTGAGAGGGAACTAAGGGAAGGTTATTTCTGTCCATTGAGTTTCATGTGTTCTCATGGTTAAATACTGAATCGAAAAGTACAACAGCAAGCCTCTCACAATAAAAACCTAGTCATGTCTTTTACAGATATCTAATGCATGTACATGTCTGTTTTCAATACTGTATTACAATGCATCCTGATTTCTCACTGCTGTGCACCACGTACAGTTGTCTACCTCTATGCAAGAAAGCTCATGGAGACAGAGATTCTTGCATTTCAGGTCAGTAACCTGAATTTAGGCTGGTTTCTAATTTTGAGTATTGTAAGTTTTGAGTGTTCTATGTTAACATGTTGGTCTTTATTGTCACCTTCCACCAAGTGTTGTGGAGTCACAACTATTCATCACTTCCAAATAATTGAGCCAAAGACATCCTTGGAGCAGACTAAAAATAAATTAATAAAGGCACTCAAACAAGAAGCCAGATGTTTTCAGAATGAAAGGACTGTACAGAAGCTAGCAAACTTAGGGAATGGCACATCTAGCGCAAGTACATGCTACATCCTGGGCTTGGCATCTATGTGACTCAAAGGATATATACTAACTTACAACTTTACTGGATCAGTGGCAGGAAAGATGCTATAGAAAGGCCCTGGATTAAAGGACTGTAGCCCAGGGAAAGTAGATACTGGAACGCTTGGAGGACAAGATAGTGTCTTATTTGATTCTGAGGGAGAAAAGTTTTGGTCTGGCTTTCTGTTAAATCACAGTATAAGTCTAGATGAGTCTGCATTTTTGCCAGAAAGACAAGTTTCAGTAAGGACAAACCAAGACAGAAGTGTATTGGGTTATGCAAGTCAAAATTCATACTCATATTCCTGATTTTAACCATGCTATGATGCCTGTACCTTATTCTAGTCCTCCGCAAGGGGGGAAAAAAATCACTTCTCTATACCTTTTGTCAGCAGAAATACAAATGACTCTTTTGTTGACATTTTCAACAAGGTATGCTGAGTTCTGTGATCCCCCTTAAATGTGGCCGCATTTCAAAAAAAACGGGGAAGCATGTAGGATGTCCTGGGATGTGGAACATATCAGTTCTGGTATTTTCAAAAAAACTCAGGTTTCTGGAATTGCATCATAAAATATTTCTTTCTGCTGAGACAGAACTATCAATACCGAACTTTGTGAACTGGAATATCCTATAAAACTGTGCATGCCCATTCCATGTATCAAGCCTCAGTGCAGCTGAAACAGCTGAACAATACTGCCTGAGTGGGAGGAGGGTCTGGTCTCACACCAAAGGCCACCCTGCAGTCTGTTCACAATGTCCTGGGAAACAGCACTTGTTGCATCTTCAGAACATATTCAAGCACCCCTCTCCTAATACTGTCTTTGTGTTTCCTTTCCCTCTTTGCAACCCCAAGTGTCTTAGAAAGGCACAGGACTCCACTCCTCAGCAGGATAATCATGCTTTGCACTTCACAGCTTTTCATCCTTCACTTACTATTTGGAGTAGTTTTCAAATAGCCTAAGCCTTTTTAGTGACTACAGCTTTCTGATATTCTAAGGAAATAGAAGCTACTTTTTTTTTTTTTCCCAGAAGAAAAGCGTAATGGGGGATGGTTAGTCTTTGTAAGAGCATTTCAGACTAAAAAGGTCAGTCAAAACTTTGAGACAGCAGCATTTGCTTCCAGCAATCTCTTATCATTCTCTTCTTAGAGAGAAATGTATGATCAGGTGATGAGGGCAAATACTGAGGATCCCCTTTTCTGTTGGGGAAAATTTCTGTTTCAAGTTACATTGTGGAACAGTACTGAAAATCTATTTGGAGAAGAAAATGGAGATGGATTTAAACCCAGTTTTCCTACTTTGACAGAATATTTTTAGTTTTAATTCAGAAATTACTTTCTAAAACACAGAGGGTTTGGTTACAGCAAAAATAATTAAAAAAAAATGTAAAAGAATGTTACTAGCTTCAAACTGAAATGTTACACTTCAACTAAAATAACTCTTCAGGGTTTCCTTTTGTGACCTGCAGTTTGGGGACACCACTCTAGTTCAAAACTAGCAGTGAAGCTAACCCAAAAAAACCCTTTTCGGGAACATGCAAATGCCTTTGAAACAATGCCAGTTTTCTTAATAGTTGTAAGATTTGTGCAAGGCTATTGAACCCTATGCTTTACTAATTCCAAAGTCACTTCTCCGTTACTCCATTACCCTGTCTGTAAAGAATTTGGGCACTGTGCTGAGAAGGTATTAAATCTTTTGTGTTAATGGGCACAGCAAACGCATTGTGTTCAAAGTGTGACTCACTCTACAAGGATGTATGGTTGTGTGTGATTATTTGCCTTTCCTGACTCTAAGTGGCAGCTTTCTATTCCAGAATCCTGTCAGGAGCTGAGCAGACACCAAGTGAATCAACACCAGCATTATTCTGAGAGCAAACTCTCGCTTAGCTTTTTTCCCCTGGAAGACAAAGTGATGTTTCCCAGATAGAATCTCTTATTATTTAAAACAGTTAAGCTGGGAGTTTGATACAGTACCTCCAAAAAGAAAAAGCAGTCCCGTCATTAGAAGCAGTAGGTAGGCCCTGGCAAGAATACTGATGAATCCAGTCATTCCTCCAAAAATCATCAATATCAGGCTGAGGGGCATCAGGATGACAAATGTTCCATGCATGTCTGAAGAAAAATGAAGAAAGTTAGTATTTTAATATTTTATTATGTGCTAATAATTATTGAGTGCAGAGCCCCCAATCAGGATCAAAGCCTTATTCTGTGCTGCACAAACAAGGGTTGGACAATCTCTTGGTTCTTCAGTTTAAGTCGGCAGGACAAATATATGGTACGGAGAAAAAGGTAACATACAGAGCAAGCCCTTCACAGGATCACAGCCTGTGTTTCAAACAGACACCACAAATATAAAGGATATGTCTACATGAATATATTTAAGCAATTAAACTATTCTCAGAGATTAAGCCTAGCTGGATAACAAGTGATGCATTATATATTAGGTAGTCACTGACAACCTTAATAAAAAGTAGCCCTGGTTATCTGAATCATACAGATCACAGTGAGTGGCATTGTTCTGTCTGGGTGTTGAGATCCAGCAGATGCTTTGGTTAAACATTTTCTTTTCTGTTACATGTCCTCTGCTGAACTGATCCAGCAAATTGTTGACCTTTTCCTTTGTTGCAACTGACCATCAATTAGAGGTAAATTTTCCCATCCAGCTCTGATTCTGTGTCTGTCATTGTTTTCTACAGCAGCTTCACTAAGGATATTAACCTATCCTGGTTGCTTCCTCCCGTGCAAAATGGTTTACATTAGTCTTTATTGATCCCTGTAACATTTTAATAGCTGTGTAAACAGAGGGTTGCTACGTATTTTTTCTTATCACACTGTTTTTTCCATCATAAACCATCTTTGTGTCATTGTTCACTCCCATGCAATCTATCCACAACATTCAACCCAAGCTTTTCTAGAATGATAACAAAAAAAAGTAATTCCAGCTTCTAGTATCCATTTATTTCATACCAGAGTGAAATGCAGAGTTACTGAGAAAGGAAAACTTAAAATCCATTTTCTGAAGGGCTCTGGGCTTCAGTGTCTCATTAATTTCACAGAGGAACAACAATACAACATTAGCTGGTTCCCAAGGAAAAGGAGTCAGTTAGATCACAGTTTGTGTGTGATCAGACGATCAATTGTTTTAAGTCACTGTAACTGCCTATTGAAGTCGAGGTACTCCACCTGCCACTGGTTAAAGGATCCAGCTTATCCTCTTCAATGTCATTATAAAGACAAGAAACAATTCTGTATGTATCTCTGTTCAGTTCTAGAACTGTGGAAGGTTAGGAACAGCCTGCATGGAATCAAGGCAGACACTGTTGCTTTCTTTACTTGAGTGGAATGTGGTTTCAAGACATAATTATTTGGTTTGTGTAGTACAGAACATGCTCACAAGGAAAAATGTGGCATATGACTAAGTTTTGGGAAGTGACCCCATTGTTCTTCCACTTCCTTTTACTTACGCTGGTTTTATATTCTCATAGTCTCGCATATGTCCACATCAGGATCAGGTGATGCTCAGAAAGCACGAATTCAGCATTCTGCACTGAAGGGAGCACTTTCTCTCCTTGCTACTAAATCTGAGGATACTCCATGGGCTCTCCTTCAGCAAAACTGGCCATGACTGCTGTTGCTGGCTAAGAAACCCAACCTATAGCAATTCTCAGACACTAACGGTCAAATAAATCTTCAGCTTACTGTGTATAAACCAGTATGTCAAAACCGTTTGCAAATCTTAGTTGAATACCAAGAGGAGAAATAACCATGGAACTTAGTTCACCAGTTTTATATAGTTAGAAGTGGTTGTCAGGGATGTGATGCAACATGATGTGACAGAACAGAGATTTGGCACACAATTCAGTTCTCATATTCTCGAGAGGCAGCAGGAACAGGCTAGTCTTCTGCCCCGTTTGTGCTTCCTGAGGGTATTAGGCCTCATTTTGATTCCCCACCGGTTTGACATCCATGTGTCCTCTTAGATTTGGTCTTGCATGTAAGAGGTGAAGAGGCCTTGGGGGGATAAACTCTGATGCAATTAACACTTTAAAAGTAAGAATGTAAGAATGGTGCAACTCTGTCCTCAGACCGGGCTTTGCTGGGAGGGAAGAAACATAAACAAGGTCATCACTGGGCCTGTGCTTTGTGATTTTCCAGGTGTCCCTCACTAGTCAAAGTTGCTGCTAACAAATTATACTTCAGGACAGTAGCACTAACAGTTGCTGTTTCTTTGACTTTCCTTTTCATGGTGTGATTTCAGTTACTGCAGCTAGGACCGTAACCTTAGCCAGGACAAGTGTGGGTGAAGAAGATAAGGCTCTGAATGTAACCTTTTCTTTTGAAGCAAAGGGAAAACAAATCCATAGCAGAGTATTCTCCTGGGGAGTGTCATAGATTACATTAATGATCCGTGACAGTTGCATGTAACATCAGAATAACTCTGATTTTTACGCCCTCTTCAGTGAAAAGATAGGTTTTAGGGATATCTCAGCTGAAACCCACAAATCCCACTGTGACAGAGCCTTACTTTTCCTACACACAGCTGGGATTGCATTTCTTGTGAATCACCTGCAGCTTTTGTAAAATCAAATATTTAATGGATTGTATTTGGTTGAACAGCACTTTTATCACCTCTAGTGTTCTAGTTCAATACCTAATACCCATTCGTCCTTCTTCTATGAAATTTGCAACTGCCTGGGAAACTTATTTTAAAATGCTGCCATGGAAACCACTCAGGAATCTGAATTCATGCCATCTGGCATAGGATATTATGCCATTATATTCCTTGATTAGAGGGACAAAATTAGTTTATAGAAGGACATGACTCTAAATATCTTTACCATGTTTCTGCCTTCAATAATCATCTGTGAAAGAAGTTAAAACATTTATTTTGCAGTCATTTGAGTGTTTTTTAGGTTGTGTTGAAATACATGCATTATGTATTATACATATAACTGTCTTCATTTTGATGAAATTAATCTAGTATCAAAAAAAAAAAAAAGTATTTTGCACAAGAAGAGGTATGTGCACTTTCCTCTGTAAAACAGAATTCAGTTTCTCACATCTGTTTCTCAACGCCTGAGTTCCCTGCCAATCCAACAAGAAAGATCCAATAGCTTAATCTTGAAAATACTGAAACAAACTGATGAACATTTAGAAAACACTCCAGTTTTTTGTAGCAAAAGATACTTTAATTGCTTGATCTGAATTAATGAAGTTTTACACCAGCTAGCCAAAGCTGTTTTAGTAGAGGTCTGACCAAATACCTGCAAGAATGCCATCTTCAGTGTGTGTCCAGATCTGCGAATTTGGCAGATATTTCTAAACTACCACCCAAGACAGTCGTTGATGAGTTGTTTGTAACAGAAATTTGTGGAATGAACTAGAAAAATTGAATGGGGTCAAACGTAACCAACTGCAGATCTAGCAGTTTTGTTAATCATCTCTTGTTAACATGCTGGATCTTAATTGTTTCAAACTAACTTTGGATTTCTTTGCACAGCTTATAATAGCAAATAGTCTCTAGAAATCTGTAATAGTCACCTCATCAGAAATACTCCAAATGGCAGCAGCTCAGAAGAGCTTAATTAAGGACCTGTTTATCTTCCCCAGCAGTAACTAAACAGCCAGTTAGAAAGACAAAAGCCTCTAGCTGAAACAGAATGCTGGCAGTAGCTAAAACCAGTGGGGCTGTTTTGGGAAGACTTGGCAAATCCAGGAAGAAACAGTGCACTGAGAAAGCCTGACCTGCTTGGAAGGAAGGAAGGAAGGAAACAACTTAGAGAAACAACGAGCAACAGAAAAGAACTGCTGTCTATGGCTAAATGTGAGACTTCTGGGCTTGAACCCCAAGGACATGAAGGCCTGGATTCCCCCCTGTTCAGTAGAGAAAAGATGATAGTGGATGAGAGCTCACAGGGTGAGGATACCCCAGGATAATTAGCTAAGCTCTGGACTCTGTGTTAAACATTTTGGCTTTGTGATCTTCTCATGCAACAAGTCTCTGAGCTAAACTGGAAGACAAACTGCAGACAGTAGAAATAAAATTATGCTAAACTTGGTACAGGTGAGCACTGATGAAAACCTTCAATAATAGGAATAGGTAGAATGATAAATGTAAGCGATACACTGTGGTTCACATTCTATTGTGAGTTTGTAAATGAGAACATTCATCAGAAGTTGTCACTCATTAGGTCTCAGCTGCAGCAATGCTAAAGTTATCTCAGATATCTCTATATATTTATTGTAATATCCACTGTAAGTATCTAAGCAAATGTTCACTGGAACCTCTTTGAAGGACCACTGCACTGTTGCTCAGAAACAAAGCAGATCCGTTTAGGTATGCACCTACCATATCAATTAAGTTAGAATTTCTATGTACATCATTTGAGTCTTATTTCACTTGGCCTCTGAACTGGCTCTTGCCAGGTATTCCAGCCCTAGCTGTTTCCTTCCAATATCTTAAAACCAAAAGGAAAAATTGTGAATAACTGTAAATCCCCCAGGAAAAATGTAATGGCAGCCAAAGAATAAGGCATTCTGGGATTAGGAGCAGGAGTATAAACATGTAACTCAGTAAAAATGAAGCAGGCCCATAAAGAGTGGGGAGAAGTGTGAAAGCAGCTGGTTAGTGACTGTTACAGGGTCCACATGCTGTAAGGAAATCTAGTCTAGTTTAACCGTACTATTACTGTTGAGGAAGAAACCAAGGCAGCTGTTGCTTTAAACAACTGAGGTACTGGTAACTGCCCCTACTGCAAAGATTGTTTCCCTTCAGGAAGCACTATCCTCCCTGCAGGAAGCACTAACTTGTCTGCAGCCTCATGGTTCCAACTACATTGATGTCTAAAAAAGAAAAAATAAAAATACTCTGGGAAGAATAATTTAAGCATTTGTGCATGGGCAGCTGCACACTCCAGTCTTGGTTTTATGAAAAGAAAAACATTTTCTTCCAGCCATATATAAGTGGAAACCACATCTATTAACTGATCATCTCTGGATAGCTCAGGAATAGAGCAGAGCACTAAAAAGTGACTTGTAACAGGATATCAATCACTGGCCATGATGTTCATGTCACTAACAAAAAATCAGGATTGTCAGAAGCTTAATCATACCTTGTAGGTACCTAATGCAGTGGGTTTGTGTGTCAGGGGCAAACCAGACAGCCATTAAGAAATAACAGTAGTTCCTCCCACGTGATTTTTCAGAACACTAGCCCCAGCTCTGCAGTGTAGATGGGAACCTGCGCCAGTTTGGGGTGCAAAGCTAAGATTCAAGAGAAATTATCTGTTTTGTAATTTTGCAACTGTTCGCATCTTTGGACCAAAATGGCCTCTTACATTTTGGCCAAATAACACTTTATAGATGTTGCTTTGATGTGCCAAAAGAAAAAAAAAAAAAAGCTTTGTGGCCATTTGGTTTTAAACTACAAGAGGAGGGGGGGAAGTCACACAAAAAAACCTCCACATTTTAACAAATTTCACCATGCTTTGAAAAAACCTTAGCTACAGCTTTCTAGGATCAGCAAATCATATAGCATTTAGTTCAGAAGAATGTAGATGGAAGTAATTTTTATGTTACCAAGCAGGGGTCACTATCCAGCCATAACTGAGACACATAGGAACAGGTTACTTGAGTTTCCAAAAAGTCAAGCTCATAGAAGAGTTTTGACAGGATACATGAGTATCCAGCAAACACATTACTTTCTTCTTTTGACAGCTCATCTGTCCTGCAAGAAGTACTTGAACCAAGTCCAGAGTACAAATTGATTTTGATTAGAAATATTTACAAAATTGTTCATTTTGCAGGGATTACACTGGTGCTGTCTCTAGCTAAATCTATAGTAGTATTTACTAGTTATTAACAATACAGACTTTGGTAAATGACAAATATTTATATTACAAAAATGCCCAAGAGTAAACTTTCCCCAATGTAACTTGTTGGGTTTGGGGTTTTTTATTGTTTGTTTGTTTGTTTTTAAATAAATTATTTTACAAAGCTGCAACTCTTGGGGAAAATTTTTCAGTAGATTAAATACTGTCATTCCTTCTACACACCAACTTCCCTCTCTCTGTATGTGATCACATTAGATGTGATTTTGAATGTTATGTTTCCTCTACTGGAAAATGGCAAAACTGCTCAGAACTCCTGATGCAGCTTCCTTTGAAGTCAGAGCGACATCCTTCTTTTACAATTTAGTGAGAGATGGATTCAGCTCATCATGAAAAAAAGGTGCTCTTTCTGCTTGTTTCCCATAGCTGGCACAGGAGAATGCGTTGCAAGACAAGATATCTGGGGTGCCTTTGCTGACAGATTTCAGTTTTAAAGGTAACTTTCAGAGGAGTATCTTTAATCCTAGTGGTCACCAAGGGACTCTAATAACTGTCTAAATTGTGAAAAGTGACACTTTTAATCCTATATGGGACAGAGGAAAATGTACATCTCCAGTAAAATGATTTTTTTTTTAAATGCAGAAATTTTAGAAAAGCTAGTGGTAAGTAGTCTAGTCGTATCTTTCTTTAGACAGCGGCTGATTTTTTAAGCAAATATATAACCATGCCATAATGTAATCTGTAGTAGGAAAATATTTTATACATTGTGGGTTTGAGGGGGAGAGAGGCTATATGCCATATGTTCAGCTGGAGGGAGTGGTAAGAAAAGAAATGGAAGCTTAATGTACAGGAGAAGGCATGGTTATGTCTAATCCATTAGAGAAATTGCTAAAGAGTACTCCTGTGATGTGAAAATACATCATACTCTCAGGCTTCACAAGACCTAGGTTGATTGCCTGAGTAATATTGCTGGTGGCACAGAACTTTAACTTGTACGTCCAATTTTTTTAATGTGCCAGGAGCTCTATTTAAAGTACTCAATAAGCCTAAAAGGAATCTGCTGGGGATGAATAGGAGAGAGATTGGAAATGTGGAGAGAGGGAATGTGAAGACTTTTCATTCTCTAATTAAGGGTTTGTCTTCTGGCAGTGACCAGCACTTCTGTTTCCACTTAGACCCAGCTCTTTGCACTCAGGTATAGACTTTCTCCCATCTTTTTGGCACTTGTGTCTAGATAAGACATGCCAGGAAGAGTATGGGAACTCTGAAGAATGGGGGACAGGATTCCTGATGTGTAACTTAAGTGCCTGCATTAGGAGACAGCCTTTCTAATTTTTTTTAAGAATAATGGGCAAGAAACACATTTGGTGTTGCCAGAGCTACTGAAATTCAGTCTGCCAATCAAACAGTGAGAAATATGGGTGTACAGCTAGACAGAATGAGATTAATGCCATGTGAATGTGCCTCAGACAGATACCTGAACAGGCACACACACAGAAAAAAATAATTTTTTGAAGTAACTGATTAAAGCTATGCGATTAGTCTGTTTGCCCCATATAGCAACACATGAAGAAATTACTGCAACTACACTGGAATCCACGATCCCAGAATTGTCCTCTAAAATTCTAGTTAAAATGTGTTGTAGATGAAGATGAAGGTTTGCCCTGATCTGCCTAAATATGATTCAGTGACCACAGTCAGAAAATGTTAAAGAAGTGTAAGGATGAAGTAGAAGGTTGTATCTCAGTACCAAACCTAGACGTCACTTAGAAATATCTGTATTTCCTAGAAGTAAGAAGTACTGACATGGTACTTCCTATGTTCAGCTGCTATTGCTGTGGGTTTGTAGCCTCACCACACTGAAACTGCATTGAAGTTGAACATCTAAAATATCAAAAAGTTCACTCTGTAGGGCATTCTAATCAAATCTAGTAGGTTCTTTCAATGAAAGTATTTCTGATTTCTTATCTCATCATTTTTAGGCAGATTACGCCTGCTTATAATAAAAAATCTGCAAGTGTCTTTGCAGACCTGAACTCTTTGTCCAGGAACCTAAAAATAGTACTTGATATGACAGCAAGAAATAAAAAATTTCTCTGAGGCTTGGAAGAGTCTGTAAACATAGTTACGAATCCAATTTTTACTCATATTCACTATTTTCTTACATTGCTTCATGACTACCAAAGAGCTGTCCTTTGTTTCCAAGCCAACATCATTATTGTAACAAAAAGAGCTCTGTATAGTCTCTGCTCTTGTTTTTGCAGAATTCAGCTCTCATTGAAGAGCTGTAATCTAAAATCTCCTCGCCTGAGAAAAATTACAGATGTATCTTTTGCAAATACGAACACAGCTTTTTAAACGATAATAATTTTATCCTGAAATTTTAGATTATCCCCAACATAATAGCTGAGGTGCTCACACTTAAAATGTGATCAGCAGACAACTAACTTTGAACCCTCAAAGGCTTAAGTGATCCAGCAGACAATCATTTTCACTGATCCTCAAAGTTTTCAGCAACATCAAGCAGCTAAGGCCCTCTGTCTTAAGCAAGGAAGATTAAAGAAATGGCACCTTTCAATTTGAAAGCACGGAGAGACAGTCTGTGCTGTTAGTCTTGAACCTGTCAATATGTTTGTACGGCTGTTTCAGTAGCCCGCTGGGATCTTATTCCTACTTTAACTTTCTAGTTACTGTTGCAACACAGCTACATTAGCATCAGTACCTCATAGGCTTACTTTGCCGTGTTTGCTGCACTTTTAGCTATATCATGAGATGCTGCTCCAAGAGACTAAAGACATTCAGCCTCGCTGAAGGATTGCTCAGGGAAATGGCTAGTTTTGAGGGAAAGAGTACCATTTTAAGACACAGGACAAATGCATATATTCTGCTTGCAAGGGGAAAACAGCCAGAGTCAGAGAGGAGAGGTGATAAAAAATGATAAAAAATAATAAAAAAACTGTGGCACCATATACAAGCATGTATGAGCAAAGCATTGCGCAGAATATGATGCAAAGAAGCTGAATCATCTTTTAGGAGAAGCCTAAAAGTATTTGAAAACGTTTAGTTTGGACTTTCTGAAAACATTCCAACACTGACAAATGAATTTAAGAAGTAAATACCAACCAACGCAGTCAGAAACTTAAAGTAACCTTTTTGAACACAATGTTCGCACTCGGGCGAACTCGGGCGAAAAGTCACGAGAATTTTTAAACTGCTTTTAGTCATTGATTTATTTTCTTAAATTCCCACATACTTAAGGTTTTTTTCAGTACAAGGAATCCCACTGAAAGGGTAGATAAGTAGCTGTCTTAAAGATTAGTTTAAATGTGTGCTTAAGCATTTTCAGTGATTAAACTCTTTTGAGGGGATTTTGAACATTTTTGCCTTTTATTTTTAACAATGTGTACCTTCCTGAGCCATTCCAGGCAGAAACATCTTGTTCCCGTGGAAGAAATTAGCTGAACTTGACATCAAATAGATGGTTATTTCAACAGTAATCCCAATTAAAGACCACATGCAGTGACAGATATTGTACAGAAGCAGTCAAAACACCATCTCAAAGAGCTCCCCCTCTGAATCAAAAATGGGACCTTGTAAGTGGACAAGGCGGGAGGGGAGGGTGGATGGAAGTATAGAAATAATATAAAAGTTACTCACACAAAAGCTGTCTGTGTGAATCAGTGATGTTTGCATTCTCATGCCAGAAAGGGTTTATCAAAGGGTAACATTCACTCCTCACTGATAGAGAAGGGAAAAAACAATGAGAAAAAATTACGCTATAATATCTTATTGCAATATATCCTCTTTTTTTTTTGCGTGTTCATATAATTCATATAATATTATCTGCTTTAAAAACATTCATTCCTAGGTAGGGGAGGAAAGGAGGGGATTTTCAGTACCCAGCATTGGCCAACTTCTGCTCCCGTGGGGCCTGACCACTGAACTCAAGAGGGAAACATCTGCTCATTTCAGTGGGGCTCAGGGTGCAGCAAAGGGGAGAATTCCTTTAACCTGCTCCCTCTCCCCTGCTCCACTGGAAGTAACGTCCTTTCTTGCCTATCATGAACATTACTTACTCCGTGTTTTTAATGGTGGAATCAAGACCAAAAGTAATGTGCCTGGTATACAAATTAAACTAAATGGGGAAAATCCTATAATATCCACATAGGGTTTATGGATCTTTCATTAAAATCCAACACTGTGAAATACCAAGCAAGACTGAATGCTGTACAATTACTTGGTGAACTTGGTGAGTCTTTAGTCACTTGCCTTTAGTTAGTATGGGATTAAGTTTATTTTATTTATATTTATATTATAGACACAGATTTCAAACTAATAATATTTATATTGATATCATTTATATTAATATTACTGTATTACTTATGTTTATAAAT